CCTCAGAAAGATTAAGAAAATCACTAAAATCATATAGCCAAGAATGATAACAGTATATCTAACTGCAAACTTGAGGGAATAATAGTGAAAACCTTTTACTAAAACTTAAGTAAAAAAAAAATTTAATATCTGACACTGCAGTTCACTACTAAAAATACACATCTATAAATTCAAAATTCTTTAAGATCCCAGCCAGGCACAGTGGCACACGCCTATAATCCCAGTAGCTCAGGAGGCTGAGACAGGAAGATCCTGAGTTCAAAGCCAACCTCAGCAAAAGCCAGGCACTAAGCAACTCAGTGAGATCCTGTCTCCAAATAACACACAAAATAGGGCTGGGAACATGGCTCAGTGGTCAAGTGCCTCTGAGTTCAATCTCCAGTACTGCCCCCCCAAAAGAAAAATTCTTCAAGATCCCAAGAAAGCACATGTCTTAGATTACTGAACGCTTTACATATATATCCCCCTTCGGGCAGTGTACACTAGTCTGCCCTTTCAGCTATGGCTTACCACTTCTCTGACCTCCAGACAGGAGAAGAAAAATGTGAGGACTAAGATGCTGGATTTTAATTTTATATTCAAGTGTTTGAATTTGATATAAATATCAGAAAGTATTGTAAGAAGTCTTCTTGGGCTGGGGATGTGGCTCAAGCGGTAGCACGTGCGGCCCGGGTTCAATCCTCAGCACCACATACAAAGATGTTGTGTCCACCGATAACTAAAACATAAATATTAAAAAATTCTCTCTAGGGCTGGGGGTGTGGCTCAAGCGGTAGCATGCTCGCTTGACCTGCGCGAGGCGCTGGGTTTGATCCTCAGCACCACATACAAATAAAATAAAGATGTTGTGTCCACCGAAAACTAAAAAATAAATAAATATTTTTTAAAAAAAAATTCTCTCTTAAAAAAAAAAGAAGTCTTCTTCCCATGCTCTCCTCTACCTGCCTAATTCCTATACTTAACAGGCAACCAATGTCACCATTTTCTTGTGTATTCTTCTAAATTGTTTTTCCTTTTTTCTTTTTTTTCAGTCTGAGGATCAGATGCAGGGCTTTGCACATGACAGGCAAATGCTCCTCCACCAAGCTTCATCCCAGTCTCTTTTTACTTCATTTTGGGACAGGGTCTCATTAACTTGCCCCATCTGACCTCAAGTTTACAATCCTCCTACCTCAACCTCTGAATATCTGAGGTTGTACCACTGTACCTGGCTCCTCTAGAGTTTTTTTTAATGCATGTATAAACCAAACAAATTTTTTTTTCTATCTTCTTTTTATTCCTTCCTTCCAGCCTGCCTTCCTTTCTTCTTTGTGCTGGAAATGGAAACACTGATATTGCTTAGTCATGGCTGGCAATATTCAGGTTTTAAAAAGATACAGATCTCTGATATAGAGAAAAAAGAATAAATAAGAATTTCCATAGGAACTTCTAACTAACAAGAGTGCCTTAAATTGAGGAGTTTTGTTTGGAGTTATTTTTTCTTTGGTACCTTGATTTTTGAGATGGATAAGTACAAGCACTTTTTTTTTAATATTTATTTTTTAGTTTTAGGTGGACACAATATATATATTTTTTTTTAATCTGGTGTTGGGAATCAAACCCAGTGCCTTAGGCATGCTAGGCAAGGGCACTACCATTTGAGCCACATGCCCAGCCCCACAAGCACTATTTTCTATAAGCATGGCAACAAGCACATACTCAAGTCTCACATTTAACGCCTGGCAGAACTACAGAGTTAATTCTAAAACACTTAGAAGCAACGCATATGAAGTACAGAAAATGAATATTTTAGCTTCAAAATACACATTTTAACTAACATATAATTTCTTTTTACTTAAAAAATAAGTAGCTCCAATTTGGAAATACATCCCAGAAATATTTTAATGATATTAACAATAGAGGGCTGGGGATATAACTTAGGACTGGGGATATAGTTCAGTTGGTAGAGTGCTTGCCTCACGTGCACAAGGCCCTGGTTTCAATCCACATACACACACACAAAAAAAATTAGTTTATATTTTGGGGCTGGGGTTGTGTCTCAGCGGTAGAGCGCTCGCCTCGCACGTGCGAGACCCTGTGTTCAATTCTCAGCATCATATAAGAATAAATAAGTGAAATAAAGGTATTGTTTCCAACTACAACTGAAAAAATAAATATTTTTTTAAAAAACGAAAAAAAAGAAAGAAGTTCCCTCTCCAGCTACCAACTCAGAGTTCAGTCCAGCACACCAGGTACCTGGTAGCCCTTAAGAACTACCTGAGACAACTGATGATGGCTCCAGGCCACACACGCAGGACTGTAATTTGTTCCATTCCTCCCCAAAAATGATGCTTTTTTTCTGCCCAGATCAAACACTACAATTTTTTTTAACTTTTTTTAGTTATACATGGACACGATATCTTTATTTTTTATTTATTTTTAGGTGTTGCTGAGAATCAAACCGAGTATCTCACATGTGCAATGCATGCACTTAACCACTGAGCCACAACCCCGGCCCCAAACACTACAATTTATGAATTTTTTAAAGTAATAAAAATCACGAGGAAAATGTTAGCAAATAAAAAATTTGTTTGAACTTTGTTTGAAGATATTTTCCACTGATCAAAGAATTAAAGGGAACATAAAATTAAGACAGCCACATCCCTGTATCCTCAAGTAGTTAACAGGTAGTAACTCTGTATGGAACACTGACATTCATTCTGTATTTCTGCCATGCTAAAGACCTTTTGTGGCTGGGGTTGTGGCTCAGCGGTAGAGCGCTTGCCTAGTGCATGCGGGGCCCTGGGTTCGATCCTCAGCCCACATATAAATAAAATAAAAGTTTTGTGGCCAACTACAACTAAAAAAAAAAGACCTTTTTGTACACTTCAGAGGTTACTATATTGTAACACCCCAAGTTCAAAGATTTAGAGGTAAAACCCTGAAACATGATAGATGTGTTAAAAAGCAGGCCTCCCTGAATCTAATACCTTAATTAAAACCAAGGAACTATAACATGAAATCCAATATACTGATCCCAATCTTCTTGACTGTTTTCTAGGAGCATCGAGGCATTGTTAAGAAGTGCAAACAATGGGACTGGGGATCTGGCTCAGTGGTAGAGTGCTCACCTAGCATGCACTAGGCACTGGGTTCAATCCTCAGCATCACATAAATGTAAAATAAAGATATTGTGTCCACCTAAAACTTAAGAATAAATATTAAAAAAAAAAAAAAAAGTGCAAACAACAACTTTGGGAGGCTGAGGCAGGAGGATCCATAAGTTCAATGCCAGCCTCACCACGACCCTCAGCAACTTAATGAGACCCTACTTCAAAATAAAAAAATATATAAAATAAGGACTGGAGTGTAGCTCAGTGGTAAAGCACCCCTGGGTTTAACTTCTACTACAATAAAAGAAGAAGAAGCGAGGAGGAGGAGGAGGAAACAAGGGCTGAAGCATAGCTCAGTGACAGAGCTTTTACCTAGCATTCATGAAGCTCTGGGTTTGATCCCAGGCACTGCCAAAAAAAAAAAAATGTAGAAATGCTCCATACAAGGTCATCTGATTCCTAGGGAGTCAGAATTCCTACAGTCAAGAATTCCTGGTTAACCCCCATGCAAACCCCTCCAATTCTACAGGGAAAAATGCTGGAAAAATTATGATACTTTAGCTTCTTTTATACTAATACAAACAGTCATTAAACAACAATAGCAGCTAAACCATAAATGAGGATGAAAACTCCCATCTACATTACCTAAAGATTTCCCACAAGTCTAAATATTTAGTTAAATTTTTTCCCCCTATGTTGCTAGGGATCGAACCCAGAGCCTTATGCATGCAAGGCAAGCACTCTACCAACTGAGCCATATCCCCAGCCCCAAGTTCAAATATTTAGGTTAAACAGATTGCATTATTCTGACTTATCCACCATTCCATTTATCTGGAATTAAACAGATCAGATTACCACAAAACAATCTTTTCTAAACTAGTATCGAACTCCAAAGGAAGATCAAGTTGGTAAAGAGCTTCCATCATTTTCTCTGTCCTTCCTCCCACTTCTTCCCTATATATGTCATAAACTATGTCCTCTACTTAGTTCTAATGGAGAGTTCTTTGGCCATCTGTATATAAGAGATCAGAAGGTGTCCTAAGAGTCTGGAGAACCACCACATCAACAGGAGCTTTTTCATCTAAAGGTCACCTGTCCACAATGCCCAAATGAGGTTTAACCCTATAAGGTGAAATTTGGCACAAGTGCCACCTGTTGAAGAAAAAAAACAAAAAAAGCCAGGCATGGTGGCATACGCCTGTAATCCACCAGTGGCTCGGGAGGATGAAGCAGAAGGATTGCAAGTCAAGGCCAGACTCAGCAATTTAGCAAGATGCTCAGTAAATTACCAAGACCCTGTCTCAAAATAAAAAATAAAAAGGGTTGGGAATGTAGCTCTGTGTAAAGCACCCTTAGGTTCAATCCCCAGTACCAAAAAATAAATGTAAAAATCTCACACACCTATGGAGCAACAGGAGGACTCTCCAAAGAGTTGTACATATAAACCAGCAGGCCTTAGAGTGTTCTAATATACTACATGAAGTTTCAGAGTAAACAAATGGTTAATGACACATCTTTTGTAACACATGAATCAGCTACTGATTTGCAAGAGTGGGACACACCCTAGTACCTATGACTCTAAAGTACCTGTTTGAAAGTGGACCTGGAAGTCTGAATGCCAATCCATGCTACCAGGATTGGAACAGAATTCTACAATTACGCAGGCTGTTATAATTTAAAGTTAAAAAGATAAACACATCATTATAATAAATGTTGATTTGAGAACTGCACTAATATTTTACACCAATAATCAAGAATAATAACAATTTACAAATCCTAGGAAACTAATACTAAGGTTTTGACCGGAAAGGGTAAGGGGACTGAAGAGTACAAATTTAAGAATCGGAATTTCTCAATTTTAAAAAAGTCAATAAAATAAACTTGGTAACGAAAAACAACACATCTTACCTTAAGAGGCATCCAAGTAGCATTCATAGTGTCAGGAATAGTTCAGACAATACTCAGAAATGAACGAGAAGAGTCTTAGTAATTCCCTTAGTCACCAGATAGGAGCAAGTAGGAAAATTGTTTCAAGAAGGTTTCTGAAAGAAAGGATTTTCATTTAGACAAAAAAATAAAATACACGAATTGATTTCAGCTATCTGGGAAAAACCTTGGAAGTTCTAACTTTTTTCATTAACCGGAAAAGGTGATGGTAGAGTGGTAGAGTGCTTGCCTAACACTTGAGGCACTGGGTTTGATCCTCAGCATCACATAAAAATAAATAAAGTAAAGGTAGTGTGTCTATCTACAACTAAAAAATTAAAAAAAAAGGTATGCAAGATAAAATTCCCTTTGGAAAAGGCAAATGTGTGGGTGGATGTGTGTGAGAAAAACACTTTACATAAACAAGAAATAAATATGTAACACATATTATAGAATATAAAACTGCTTATCAAAGAATTAGAAAACTAAAATCCCAGACAGAAAACATGATTATCCACAGTATTTCATAATTATCAAAAAGTGACTTGTTAATTGACCACCTAAAAAAGATCCTTGCCACATTTAATTGTATTCAGTAAATTAAAAACCTCTGATGATTCCAACTGTCCTAAATTTTCTTGAACTTAAGTTTCTGCATCGGTTTATGTGAAAAATAAGACCTGTTCTTCACCCAAGTAGTACAAGAAAATAAAAGACCCTTCTTTCCTAGATATCTTTAAAAGCAGACCAAACAATTTAAGTTTGTAGGCAGGCAAGAGGATGAACTAAATGACCTCCTACAGGATCCTTGTTCAAGTCCTAGGCCTGAATGAAATTCCAGCTTAACCAGTTACTGCTTCGCTTAAAATGGAGGATTGCCCCGAGTAGGGACAAATATAAAGCACTCACCTCTTAAAACATAAATTCTGAAAAGAAAAAAAAAAATTGAAAGAGTAAAGTACCTTCACTTAAAAAAAAAAATGTAAATATTGAAAACCTCCAGAGTGGATTTGTTCTTGCTAAGCGTTTGTCACTTCGGCTTCGAACACTTGTCCATCACTTTCCTTACCGCTCATCGGATTGGGGGGAGGGGGCGGGAGGAGTTTTGACTCTTGACCCAATCTTAGGAGGGTTTAAGAGCCCCCCCCCAAGATCCCCACCTCCAAAGACAGCGAGAGAAGAGAAAGGGGAGAGCCCGGGTTCTCACCCCTCCCCCCGCCTTGGACCCTAGTCCCAAACCTCCGCCCCCCCGCCCGCCAGCCTTCCCGCAGTGGGGCGACTCCTCCTGCCCCACTCCCATTGTTAGGGAGGGGGCTAGTGGGGCAGTGGGCTCGGGGTAGAGGCGCCGGTGGCCGTTGCCCCGGCTCTCTTCAGGAGGGGGCGGCCCGCGGGATGCAGCTTCCCTTCCTCTCCGCGTCGGTCCGTCCCACCTCGGCTCGGCCTGGCGTCCCAGGCTCCGCTCTGCACCCCCGGCCCGGCCCGCCCCCCCCCCAGGCGGCCAGCCCCCGGCCGCTTGGTGGGCAGCCTGTGGCCCAGGCCTACCGGTGGGCGCGGGGCGGGAGTCCCTCAGCCCCGCACACGCGTACCCGCTCCCCCAGCCCAGCCGCTTCCAGGGCCCTCCGCGGCGCCCGCTCCCCGGGCCGCTCGGCCCCCCGCCTCCCGGCCGCGCCGCCCCCTCGGGCTCCCCGTAGGGGGCCGCCGCCCCTTCCCCACCATCACCTCTACCCACTCGTGCCCCCACCCCCCGGGGCACCAGTGCCAACGGCGGCTCCCCCAGCCCAGGACCTACCTGCACGGCTCAACCAAGCCTAGAAGTGGGGGCGGGGAACCTTCCGCCCTCCTCTGTCTCTCATTGGCTCCTCCAGGGTATATCGTAGGCTCCATTGGCTGAGAGCGGATGTCCGTCAGGCTGGCGGGGCGGGACAGAAGGGGGAGAGGGATGCTGGTGCCTCGGCGTCTCTGTCTCTGTGTATCTCGCTGTCTCTGTCTCTGTATGGGCCTTTGGAAATGAGAGGCTTTAGGACGCGAGGATTGGAAGAGGGCCTGAGGTGGGAAAAACAGGAATCCCGGCAGTGCTTCACATCAGTCGACCACTTCGAACCCCCTACCTAAGTCCCTTAGGTCCTCTTCTCCATCACCCAAAACCCCGACCCCTCACCCTTTAGGTTCTTCATCCAGGAAGCGACGCGATAAAAACTCAAGGCCGGAAGGCCATAGGGGGCGATTTTATATATGTATGTAAAATATACACATACAAATATTTATAAAGTCAACCATATATAAGGTCGTGAGGGCCTGAAAAGGAAAGGGCACACATCTCGCAGACAAGGAAGGACTTCAGTTACAGCTGATATAAGAAAAAATCAAAAATCACTCTCAGAACTGGTGACAGTGCTTAGGGAACCAGGTGGGAGGAAGAATCTCACTGCATATTCTTTGTAGTTTTTGATTTCTGTACCATTCTTAAAGGTTCAAATAAAAAAAAATAGTCGATTTAAATGTTTAAATAATCTAAGGTCATAAAACCAAGGGACAGACAGTTCTTGAATGTTTGTCCAAGAAAATTAGGACAACATGCAGATTTAGAGAGAAATTTTAATTTTTAATTTATTCAGTTCCAGATTCCAGGGGTAAACCAAGTGTTGTCCCAGAGACAACTGGAGTTCTGGAACTTGGGAGAGAGTGGACAATCTGGACTGGAAAAGATATGGGGTACTTTGCCCAAAAACATGGTTGTCTACAACATACTAAAGCATAAACAACTCCCAAGAAGTGTGAAAAGACACCCACAGTAAAAGTCAGGAGGATGAAAAAGAAAAGAAAGACTAATTGAAGCAGCATAAAAGATAAAAAGCAGCAAGTGGTTCTGGCAAAACGGAGTAATAAAGCCGTGAGAACCTCACAGGTCTTGAGGCTCACTTAGGGAACCTTCTTTAGACCCCGGTAACCATGTGACAATAAGAATGAAAGTCAAGAAAATACCCATAAGTCAGAATTTTTTTTTTTTAAGTACCAGGATCAAACCCAACGCTGAACCTTGCCGTTGAAGGCAAACACTGTCACTGAGCTATATTCCCACCCTTTTTAAATTTTATTTTGAGACAGAGTACTGGCTGGCTCTGAACTTGTGATCCTCCTGCCTCAGCCTCTGGATCAGCTGTAATTATAGGTATATGCCACCATGCCCAGCCATAAACCAGAAATCTTAACATTTTCACACCACAGACCTTTTGGTAGTCTGGTGACACATATGGACCCCTTCTCAGAATTTAAAATTCGTAACAAACATACATAGGAACCCAAAGGAAACTATCTACATTAAAATACAACTTTCAAAATACTTCTAAAAGTATAGTAACGTGCTTTTTTATTAATATATTAAAATCTATGGGCTGGGGATGTGGCTCAAGCGGTAGCGTGCTCGCCTGGCAAGCGTGCGGCTCAGGTTCGATCCTCAGCACCACATACAAACAAGGATATTGTGTCAGCCGAAAACTAAAAAATAAATATTAAAATTAAAAAAAAAATCTAATGACAGGCCAAATTACCACTATAAATTTGATGTCATAAATAAGCATAAATGTTATTTTAAGATATCTGCAATAACTATTATAATATACTGTGAAAATATCTGTGATTCTTATTGATGACAAGATCACAGGTACTGTTAATACTAGTTTGTTGTCTCTATCTGTAATTGAGATAAATACCCATTTTTTTCTTGGACTACAGCATAATTAAAGGCATATTATTGCTGAGCATGGTGGCACATACCTATAATCCCAGCAATTTAGGAGGCTGAGAAAGGAGGATTGCAAGTTCAAAGGCCAGCCTTAGCAATTTAGTAAGAACCTCAACACCTTAGCAGTACCCTGCCTAAAAATAATAAATAAATCTGGGTGCAGTGGCGCGTGCCTGTAATCCCAGCAGCTGGGAGGCTGAGGCAGGAGGATCACAAGTTCAAAGCCAGGCTCAGTAATTTTGAGGCACTAAGCAACTCAGTGAGACTCTGTCTCTAAATAAAATACAAAATAGGGCTGGGAATGTGGCTCAGTGGTTGAGAGCCCCTAAATTCAATCCCCGTACCAAAAACATAAAAAATAAAAAGGGATGGGGATTTAGCTCAGTGATAAAGCACCCCTGGGTTCAATCCCTACTAACCAAAACAAATGGGAAAAAAAAAAGACATTATTTTTCCTGTTTCAAATTCATAGATTTCTTAATCTGTGGACCACAGAATAAGAAACCCTACCCAAAGGGAAGCATGGTGACTTGCATTTATGGTATTAGCTATTCAGGAGGCTCAGGTGGAGAATCACTTGAGCCCAGGAGTTTGAGGTCAGCCTGGGCAACATAGTGAAAAACCTGTCTGAAAAAGGAAGAGAAAGGAATCCTACCCTAAAGAAACAATCCTTCCCACCCTTCATACACTCCTTATCTGCCCTTCCTTGTCTCTCTCTTCTTCTTTTTTTTTTTTTTTTTAATTTTTTAGTTTTCGGCGGACACAACATCTTTGTTTGTATGTGGTGCTGAGGATCAAACCCGGGCCTCGAGCATGCTACCGCTTGAGCCACATCCCCAGCCCCTCTCTCTTCTTCTTCCCCTTGCTCCAAACACTCTCTTGTTCCTAATCATGCCAGGAGATGGATATCTGACATCCTGTGACACAAAAAACAACAAAATATGAATGGGACTTGAAAGAAACATATTTACATCTTATCTTTGTTCAAAGAAAAGAAAGAGCAGGGGCTGTGGGTGTAGCTGAGTAGTAGAGCACTTATCTAGCTTGCTTGAGACCCTGTATTTGATTCCCAGTGCTGCAGAGATAGGAACAAAGGGTAAAGGGAGGGAAGGAGAATGCTTGAGACTTATTGTAGATCTGAGATGATTGGGAACAGGGGGCCAGGATGGTGTATCACTCATTTGCAAGAAGGAAAACAAATTATAAAAGTTAAACATATTGGGCTGGGATTGTGTCTCAGTGGTAGAATGCTAAGCCCTAGGTTCGATCCTCAGCACCACATAAAAGTAAATAAATTAAATAAAGGTATCATGTCCATTTACAACTAAAAAAATATTAATTTTAAAAATTAAATATCTTTACCAGTTAAGACTCTTCTTTAAATTGATTATTTCTACTTAAAGCAGCTGTGAATAACACCTTCAATTCAGCTTCTTATTTATTTTTTATCAATAAAATGGGGCAAGAAATAGTACCTACATGTTGTACTATCAGACTTTTCAGACAATATATCAGTAGGAGATAAATTCTAGGGCATTAAAAAGTGCCTGCCATAGGAGGTGCTCAATAAATATATAGGGGAATGAATATTAGTCCTCATTACCTTATAAATATACTATAATGTACCCATAAAAATGTGAAGAAAAAATAAATATATAAACATTTAGTTCTCACTATCTTGTGAGTATTAAATTGGTTAATACATTAAATGGATTTTTAAAGTGCCTAACAAACGGGCACCGTGGTGCACACCTGTAATCCCAGCACCTCGGGAGGCTGAGGCAGGAGGATGGCAAGTTCAAAGCCAACCTCAGCAACGGCAAGATGTGCTTAGCAACCCAGTGAAACACTGTCTCTAAAAAAATACAAAATAGACCTGGGATGTGGCTCAATGGTCAAGTGCCCCTGAGTTCAATCCCAGTATCTACCCTCCCCCCCAAAAAATGCCTAACACAGGCTTAATACTCAGTTGTTAACTATCATTGTTATTATATTTTACATCTTGAATTCCAGGTCATTCCATGAAAATGTCTGGCATGATTAGTTGTGTTAATGACATGAACCAGCAAATTAAGAGCGATAAGAAGGTCAACCCAGAACACTTATTTTTCACTTAAATGCTT